AGTTTATTGTCATTGTGATGAGAAATGTAATATTGTGTCTACTCTGTAAGTCGCTTTGGATAAAAGCGTCTGCCAAATGCATAAACATAAACATAAACATAAGAAAAACTGGGTCAGTGTGCTAATTTTTTTCCCCTTTAATCTTCAGCTGGTAGAGAAAAAATGGACCTTGTCTGTATAACTAAGTTGAATCAGCACAATCAGGGGTATCGATCGTTTACATTCAAAATGGTGAAGAAGTTATATATAACTATATAATATATATATAAAAATAAAAAATGAAAAAGGACAAAAAAAGTGAGACATCCCATTGTGCGTGATTCGCCAGCAAGTCTGTAACTCCCTCTGCAGTTTTTTCCCACATTTGTATTGTTGACAGTAGACAGCTCCATCATTATAAAATCTTGAAAGTATAACAGCCATTTTTTAATAGGAAGCTTGTGTGGGGGGAGCCACCTCTGAACAATTAGAGCCACACTTTTCTCTGTACATTCAAACTGTGAGTCGTCATTCAGTACCAGTAAACTTGGTTGTAATGGAATCTCTAATTCTAATCATTCAGATAAGGAGGGGATCTTCTTGAATATAAATTCTAGCATTAGTAAAGTTTGTCTGTTCTTCTCCTTCTGCTGTGGTTCAGCCTCCACCCAGGTGCTCTTCTCCTTCGATGTGGGGAACGGCCCTCTGGTGGTCAGCGTGGAGGCCGGCTCCCCGCTGGACGACGGCCGGTGGCACCGGGTCCAGGCCGAGCGGAACGTGAAGCAGGCCTGGCTCCGCCTGGACCGGCTGCCCGCCGCCACAAAGGAGGCGCCCGCCGACGGCCACACGCACCTGCAGCTCAACAGCCAGCTCTTCATCGGTGCGTTTAAAGGAGTTTAAAGCTGCCTGTTTAACGTCAGAAGAACACCAGAAGTGCCATTTCCCAACTACGGTTTCCATTTATTTAAAGAAGAAATACCAATCCATACTAGTTTTTCATTATAATTGGTCTGTAACTTAAATCCAAATAGGCTGCAAACAAATCTAAATGATTGGCAATGTCCAGTACAAAGTCTATTTTGTTTGTCTGATCTCATGGATGGTTTTACGTAGCATTCACAAACTTTTTATAAAGGAAAAACTGCAACTAGCCACATGTAAATCAACCTAAAAGCCCTTTCATCGGGCTACAAGTTTTTTTATTTTCGCTGAACATGTAGATTTTTGGCTGTAATTAGACATAAATTAGATTGACGTGTGTTGTGAATTATCTGTTATGTTGAAAAAGGCCCAATCCTCCAAAAAGTTGGTGAAATTTAAGCTAAAAGGCTGGATTCTCCAATTATAACTAACTAAATCTGCTGATTTTCTGTACTCATGTCACTGTAACCTCAAATTAGCTGTATAACCTTTAAAAAGAGATAAATGTTTAATAGTTGTTTCCCTGCGAGCTGCCCACATGAGGAAACAAAAACAGCAGTAAAAGGTCCTTTTTTCTCCCCCGTTTGCCTTCAGGAGGCACCGCCTCCCGGCAGAGGGGCTTCCGGGGCTGCCTCCGCGGGCTGCAGCTGAACGGGGTGGGGCTGGACCTGGAGCAGCGGGCGCGGGTCACCCCGGGGGTGCGGGCCGGCTGCCCCGGCCACTGCAGCAGCTACGGGGGGCTGTGCCGCCACGGGGGCCGCTGCCTGGAGGGGCCCAAAAGCTTCTCCTGCGACTGCCGCGCCTCCGCCTACGCCGGGGCCTTCTGCCGCACAGGTCAGACTCAGACTCACAACCACACAACCTGCCACACAGGTCCACCTCAGACTCACAACCACACAACCTGCAGCACAGGACAGCTTCAGACTCACAACCACACAACCTGCAGCACAGGACAGCTTCAGACTCACAACCACACAAGCTGCCACACAGGTCAGACTCAGACTCACAACCACACAAGCTGCCACACAGGTCCGCCTCAGACTCACAACCACACAAGCTGCAGCACAGGTCAGACTCAGACTCACAACCACACAAGCTGCCACACAGGACAGACTCAGACTCACAACCACACAACCTGCCGCACAGGTCCGCCTCAGACTCACAACCACACAAGCTGCAGCACAGGTCCGCCTCAGACTCACAACCACACAAGCTGCCGCACAGGTCCGCCTCAGACTCACAACCACACAAGCTGCAGCACAGGTCCGCCTCAGACTCACAACCACACAAGCTTTCCCTACAGGTCCGCCTCAGACTCACAACCACACAAGCTGCAACATAAGACAGCTCTGCAAGGAAAAGAACTTCTGTCTGAATTGTAGTTTCAGAGCCCAGTTGTACGGTGGCCCTTTGTGTTGTTGCTTTTGTATTTCCGTTGTGGCTTTTGCATTTGTGTTGTTTTTGTATCTGTGTTGTTGCTTTTGTATTTCCGTTGTTGCTTTTGTATTTCCGTTGTGGCTTTTGAATTTGTGTTGTGGCTTTTGTATTTGTGTTGAAACCTCTGGGCCACCGTACAGTTTACCTGAATGTAAGGCAAAGCAAGGCAAGTTTATTTGTTTAGCACTTTCCTGTACAAGACACTTCATATTCACAGAGAATTTAAAAGCAAAAAAACAAGAAAAGAAAAATAATCAAAATTAGACAGATGAAAAGTGAAGGGTGCAGACAAAATACGTTCAATTTCCACATGCACAGTTAAACAGACGCGTTTTCAGCCTGAGTTTAAACACTGTCAGAGTTGAAGCCTGTCTCACGTCTTCAGGAAGACTGATCCAGATTTTAGGAGCATGGAACTGAAATTAAGCTTCATCTTGTTTAGTTCTGACTCTGGGCCCCATCGAAAGACCAAAACCTGAGGTTCTCAAAGTCAGAGCTGGTTCATATGGCTCTATAACATGTCAGAAAGGTATTTTGGTGCTTGCCCATGAAGAGACTGGTACACAAGCAGAGCTGAAAGTCATAAAAACGATCCGACCCACTGTCCAATCCAAAGCAAAAGGGTGTTAAATAATTTTGAGTTTGCAGCTGTATGTCTCGGAGCAAATTTGATATGTAAAAGATGGTTGAACCTGATGCTCTTAGAAGGATTTACATTCCAACTTGAGGCTGGGCTGCATTTACAGAATAAGCAAAACAAGGATGCTGCTTAGCGGGAGGTCCAAAAGTTTCAAACTTTTTCCAAAGCCCTGAACTTTACCGTCACAACGCCTGCAGTCACAGTGGCACAAATCCCGTCTCACACACGAAACAGCTCATACTCACCTTTAGACTCACCTGTGTTGTTTAGTAGACGTGTTTTTAATTAACCGAGTCCCCCGCTGAAATGAAACAAGTTTCCAGAGGGACGCTTCTGGAACATCCTGGCAGACACTTCCAGTTAGCTCTATTGGTTAAATCGTGAGAGGAACATTGAGCCTTCACCTCTGCAGACTAACTCATGCGCACTCAGCCGTGCACGCTCCCAGCTGTGCACCTCCACAGGTGTTTCAGCACAGGAAATCATATCTCTGACACCTTGCTGTGTTATAATTAGAGTGAGTCAGGTTTGGTGTGTTTTTTATCACCTGTCAGCTGGTTTTTCTGAGGCGGCTTTGCACCAGCTTACTAATTAGTTGGTGTCGGAGCATCCGAGGCTCCACACTTTTAAGAATATGAATAACTCATAGAGGTCTGAGTTCGGCTTTTCTTTCAGAGTCAAAGTGAAGCATGGAAATCAGATGCAAATCACGGTATGTTGCGGAAAATCTGTTTTTTTTTTAAAACGAATAAATCTTTTTTTTAAAAGCACAGATGGATTGGAAATAACTAATTTTAGGAGAAAATGGGGACTGGATTTGAATTCTTTTACCTTTGAAAATAAGCGTTGCTTCACAATCAAATGCAAATTGATTCAATCAGGGCAGGGGTGAATATTTTATTCCAAAAATGTTGAAGAATTACCCGTTTTTAGATTTCAGCTCTTCTCAAAAACAAAGAATTATGCAGTCTTTAACAGCTTTGTTAAACTTTGCTTTGTTTTTAAAAGTCAGTTTTAGGTCCGAATGGTGAAACTTTACTTTTCAAAGTAAAGTCGCAGCTCCAAACGGGTTAACTTCTAGTTTATATCAAATGTTTGGACTTTCTCCCCCTCAGAGGTCTCGGTGAGCTTCAAGCCAGAAACCACGATCAGCTACACTTTCCTGGAGCAGACGGAAAACGAAGGGAACAGGAGTAGTAACGCCCCACCGGCCTCCACCTCCTCCGACACCACCCTGACAGCAGAAAACATCTCCCTGAGCTTCCGAACGGGCCAGAGCCCCGCCCTGCTCCTCTATGTGGGCTCCTCCCGCGAAGAGTACCTGGCCCTGCTTCTCAATAAGCAAGGTGAGCACTCCCTCTTTTCTGTGTGACCTGATAACTGACAGGGAAGAGGAGAATATTGCCATCCGAGGGAAATCAGAGGACTAACCGAGACTAAATAACACATCACAGTACCTTTACATGACTACAATGATGCATTAGTCAAACAGATTTGCTTCAACCTACTAAAACACACTCAGAAAATGTGAGTTTGGATCGTTCCTTTTGCTCCAACTCTCCTCCAGCAATCTGCTTTTTAATTTCTCTGATCTGATTCCACATGAGGGTCACCTGTCAACCAAAACGATGATAAAAACCAATATAAACAGGATTCTCCAGGGATTAACGGTGTGTAGTCTTTGCTGCTTTATTAACCCAGTCCGGGAGACGTCCATCCATGGACAGCAGATTGACAGCGGTTGCCATGGTGATCGGGTCAGCACGGCGTAGAAACCTCCGGAAAAATGGTTTGCTATGATGAAAAAAGAAAGAGAGTTACACTTCCTGTTTCTGTGGTTACATGTTTCTCTGCAAAGATAGTGCAAAGTAGTGGGGAGGGGAGGAGCCTCTACTTTGAAAGACGATATTTCAAAGACGATTCAGGTAGCTTTGCTTCCTGAAACTAAACAAACCACAACAGAGAGAAATGTCTGTGCACAAAAGCCTACGTAAGAGCTAGAACTAACAGGCTTTAATCTTTTCACAATCCGAACACCTTCTCTTTCTTTTATATGAAAGGGACAATGTTTAGTTTTAATGAGAGTGTGAGCAGAGGCGCACCAGTGAAAAAAATACAAGAAGAACAAAGCATTTCATCTAAAAGGAGATTTTTTTTGTTTTTTCTTTCATTTAAGATTAAGATTTCACCATGTGCAGCTACTGATTTAAGCTAGAAAAACATCCCCACTGTTTTACACTCAGTTGTAAATCACTTTCAAAGATGGTAATGACTCTCTAAGTTGGAAATGAAATCTAATTGTTTTGTAATTGATTGCAGCTGTGCCTTTGTGTCATCCGCCATGGCACCTCTGAGCACACAAAGTTAATGAGTTACTCCTAAATATCACAGATCTGAGAGAGGACTGGTTTAGATTTTAACCCCAGATCAGGATCAAAGGCAACCTGAAGTAGATCTGCAAAAACGAAAACATGTGGAATCAGGCTGCCCCCCCCCCTCAGGTGTGTCTGTGTGTGTGTGTGTGTTTGTGTGTGTGAAGAGTTGGACATAATTAGCAGTAAATCATGCATTATTCAAGAAAACTAAAAAGCCGTTATTCTTATTACTGTGGACTGACTGCATTATTAACAATATTATCATCATATCCCTGAGTCAAGGAAAAAATGACTAAATAAGTGGTCATGTTAAATAATGAATTGCTAATTCCGAACAAATAAGGGCTAAAATGATGGAATGGCATTTTTTTAGAATAATATTATTCTATTTTCTGAAGGTTTTTGGGCACATTTCTTATTAAGACTAGAAATAAATTAGGCCCTCATTTCCTGAACAGTTCAGCTTTCAGCTCAAAAAAAGCAATTAGATCATCTGAGGTGGTCTTCATGGAAGTATGCTCCATAAAGTACGTGTGTTTTTATTAAAAAGAACACCATCTCTATTTTCATGTTTTACAGCTCTACAGACAGTGAGTTTTCAGGAATAAATCAATAAAAATTGTTGAAATAAATCACCAGGATGACCCACCTTTGCATTGATTTGTGGGGGACGGGTTTTTTTTTCAATGCTCTGAAACAGGCAGTAAAACTCAGTGTTGGACATCTAAACCCTGTAAATAAATCTCTGTGATCTGCTTTGACTGGTTGTTTGCCTTAAACCAAAATGTATTAATCCCAACTTGTTGCTATCCAGCTGTGACTCAACAGCCGTGTGTATAAATATATTTCATGAATATTGTAAATATTGCACAAAATATTGTAAATATTGTAAATACTGTAAATAAATATAATTTATAAATATTTTTTTATTTAAATATATTTTCTTGTATTTTTATTTTATTTATATCATTAATAGAAAGTATCTTTATTATAGAATATTATTAATTATATGAGTAATGGAAGTGCTAACAAAGGGACAATAGAATTGAATCGATTAGAAAGCAAAGCCATTCATAGGAAACTGAAAATAAAAATATGACTTCTTAAGCTGAACATGAATGAACATGAGGCTAGGTGGCAGACGTTTCTCTGTTTTGACTCCACTGAAAATCTCTGTGTGGGATTTGTAGAAAAACTGGTTCAGGGTTCCCTGTGAATTCCTTTGGGCTCATCCTTTGACGGCTCTGTGATCTGTGTGCAGAAAGGCTGGAGGTGCGGTACAGGCTGGACCCGGGAAAGCGTGGGGAGACTCTGAGGAGCAAAGTGAAGAACCTGGCTGACCGACGGCTTCACTCTGTGGCCGTCAGCCGCCTGGCGGACTCAGTCTCTCTGCAGGTAAAACCAGCTCAGGAAGTCAGAATAGATCACAGATCAGAACCACAGCACACGTTTTACCTCCATGTCCAGGAGAACAAAACCCAGAGTCTCCACACTATTCACTGACCTCAGCACTTGACTCGTGAATAGAAATCTCAATGCTAATATAACCCCTTGTTATGGTATATAACCGGGCACAGGAAAATAGAATCAATAGCAATAACTGGACCAGTATCATAAAGCACTGGATTCTATTAACCGTTTAAAGCCTGATCCAAGAAAATTAGGAAAAATATTGGATTTTTTTTAGTCAGACGTCTTTCTTTGGCCCCTCAACAACATATGAAGACAGAAAACAGAAGTTGTTTTGATCAAATTAGCGTGCAATAAGTCAAAAATATACTTTGGTGTAGTCTTCTACTGGCTGTTATCAGGTATATCTGAATGTGTACAACAGGGGTTTGAGCAAAGCTTTTACCATTGAATGATCCAAAAAGTCTCAGATCCAAAAGACTTCAGAAACCGTATGAATCAAATATGATACATTTGGCATTATAGGGTTAAGAGCCAGTATCTTGATCATCAACAATGACACGGACAACCGTTAAGTTTCATTTGTGCAACAGCTTCTTCTTATTGCAAACCAGCAGGTGAGATGTAAACATACACTTTTTGAAGAAAAATAAAGATGGTGGAACGTGGTCTTTTCTTTGCCAAAATCTGACCGATGAGTCACACCGTTTTACAAAGCTAGCTGGTAACAGGGAATCCTACCTGTCTGTGGCACTATTGGCATTATGACAGGAAACACAACTAAAAACGGATAACCTGGACTGGTGGGGTTCAATGATTTGTTATTTTGGGGGTCCTGTCATACTTAGCCCTTCACTGTTGCTCATAAAATACAGCAATTTACGAATGTCTAAACTTTTTCAGTTTTTTCCTCACAATTTTAACCACAAATGATTTACTAAATGACATCACTCCAAAATATGACTTTTTTATATAAACACTTTTAAGAGTGACATTTCTTTAGCATGAAATCAACTTTAACTAATTATTTATTTAAAAATAAAATGAATGTTTTTTTTCTTCATTTCAAACATTTTAAGGAAAAGTTCTAATCGTAACAGTCATTTTAAAACCTGGCTTAACTAAACTCTCTCCTGCTTTCCAGATTGACCAGAATGAAGTGGAGGACTTCAACCTGACCGCTGATGTTGAATTCAATGGCGTACGGTCACTGATTCTTGGAAAAGTTCACAGTAAGTGGGACGGCTTAAACTGTTCAGACTGTGGAAGTCTCAGACTGTAT